TCACCCACGGTCAACTTCTTCAACAGTGACTGAACATCAGCCACGTCTGATGTTCAGTTGAAGGAATCATTTGGTTCTAAATCCAGACTGACTCATAAGAGGACTTCCTGGAGACTTTGCTTCTCTCCGGATAAATTCAACAAGACAAGTGAGATTGACTGATATTAATAGACCATCACAGCGCACGCACACGAGTACCTCAGAGGCCAATCAAGAAAAGTGGGCCTTTGAAGACCATTACATAAAAAAGAGGAAGTTAATTAATTTATTTCGGTGAGTCTATTCTCCTGAGTTTTCACCTGGGCTCTGATGACAGAAACCAGGGAAGTTGATTTCTTGTCAGGACGCCTGACGAGAAGCCACGAGTCGACAAATGACATCCTGTTTAGTACTGTGTAAAGGTTTTGGAATAGGTCGCCAACTTCGTGTGTGTTTTTGGTTAAAAAAAAAAATACAGTTAAAATCTTTTCTTGTATCAATAGTGCTGGGTGTGAATGTCAATGTACATTAAAAAAATGTGTACTTAATAAATTCTATATGTATGGTTTAAAGATAAAGAGTCATTTTTCAAAAGAAACTCTTCACCAACGGTGTTCAGAAACTATGATTTTAATGTGCTTAAAATATCATTACAAGTAAATGCAACCTTAATTAGTTTCATGGATTTTCAGTGGTGTCTGACTGAAATCCCTTCATTAAGATTCAGAAATGTTTGTTGAAATCAAATACAAAAACTCATCAATAATAGCAGTATTATGATAGAAATTCTAAATATACTATATATGCAATATATATTAAATATATTACATGATATGCAATATCTAAAGGCTGGATATGTAAACCAAGTCTTTACGTCGTCAAAGTTTTTAAAGAGAAATAAGTCACGTGACCTCTTTGAGATTTCGCTTCTAGAAGCTTCTAACAGGAGACAAACTGCGACCCACATACAGTATGTGTGGGATTAAGTCTGACTCGTTACGACATATAAACTGAAATTTTAGAGTGACAGTAGAATTTAGACTTCTGTAGGCGTACAAATGTTTTCCCTCTGTTTTTTGCCTTTCTGTTCTAAATAAACTCCAGCTGTGATGATTGACCACAAGTGCAACCGTTTAGCAACATTTCATTTACAGAGAAGCAAAATAAAACCTCAGACTTCAACTTCAAACTATATATATATATATATGGGCATGTATGTTCTTCAATAGAGAACCATGGGCCTTGTTCATTGAGAATTGTGTTTTTATTATGTCTATTTATTATTACTAATTATTGTTATTTTTACAAGGTGCTGATTTTGTTTTCTATGCTTCTAACTTCTATAGAATGCACAGCAGAAAACGAGGCAGTTGTAGCTGCATCAGATATATTATATAATTTCATTAAACTACAAGATAAAAAAAAAAGAACCTGAAAACCACAGGACTGAGCTATTAAGACCTAGGGGGGGCGCTGTTTTGCTAACTAATTGCTCACGCTGCTAAATGCCATATGCCATAAATGTCAAGTCATTTAATTTCATATAACAAACACTAATATGAAACTGAACCGTTGACATCAGACTACAGTACTACAGCAGCAGTTCGACTGTTGTAACAACCTCTGTGATTAGTGTTGCAGGATTTCTGCTGACATCGGCATTTCAAGCGTGTCCAAACTGACCTCATCTCCAGGTCGTGGTTCTCCTGAGCGGTGAAGCTGAACAAGGCCACATAGGTGTTGAGCTCCAGGACGTCTTTCTGCAGCTGATCCTGCTCCACCTGGACGACGACAACAACGCCAACAACCAGACACAGAACGTGTGATTATCAACAAGTAGTAATTTGCTGAACAGAGCTACAGTAAGACACGGCCGCAGCAGCACCAAATGTCCCACTGTCCTTTTCTTTAGCTGTGTCTTAAACACAGACTTCAGCGGGAGAACTCTCTTTGTTTACAGACACTGATAGACCCACGAGCTGCTAACACGGCTCCGCAATCTGTTCCTTCTAATCCGGAGTCAACGGGAGTGGGAGAGGCGGGATCAGCTAAAGCCTCGGGAAGTTAAAAACGGATGGCGCTGTGGGTGGAGAGGAAGTTCTCGCACAATTAGTAGGGAGACGTGCGCTCTTCACACCTGCTCAGGAAAGTGGTGGGCGGTGCGTTCTCCCATCTCCTCACTGTTACTTTGAATGTGAAAACATTCAATCTCTAAGATCAGTCTAAAAAACACACTGGGTTCCCAAATGGTACCTGGAGAAAAGCCGTGCTAAAAATATCCCAGCAGGAGACTTTTAAGGTGCGCTGATATATTTCTGTAAAACAGTAGCAACAGGAGGATTTATTCCTCCCTGGCAGCCATGGAAATAAAGAGTTTTTTTCCTTTTTTTTTCCAGTTCCATGGACACAGGCTGAAAATGTCACTGATGGATGACTCCAGTTATCTGTGGTCTCAAGGCAAACTGCTCTGTGGTCTATGAAAAAAAAAAAAAACAGTCAAACCATTACATCACACTGAGAGCTCTGTCATCGGCCTGGAGGAGTAACAAACAATTATTTTATTTTATTTTCAAACTTCATCAATCAGGTCGGATTGAAACCAAGTGGGCCTGTTTTGGCCCACGGGCTGCATGTTTGACACCCTTCGTTTAAATAATATACAGTAATTGCGACATACATTAATTGACTTCTGCCATGAAAACAAATACTAAACGTAGCTACTGTAACAGAGACAGTGTTTGTGTGAAAATGTGAAATTCATGTCTCTTTGAGCTCGAACGATAAATCAGCTAAAAGCCTCGAATCCATTAAGAAAACTATGTGACGACGACACTGGTTTTGCTAATCACGTTGTAGCTAAACATTGGTTCCGCTCTTGGGTTTCACATGGACGGTACACAAAATTGAGCGAAGATCAAAACAGACGAGGACTAAAAGGCAAAAAATGTCTGAAAGGAAGGAAGTGGAAAGTGAACTCCATGTCACCGTGACACAGCACACCAGTGCACACAACCAACTGTGACCTTTTTGTGATTGCTGCTTCCTGCTTTTAACCCAGCACCAAAGTGAACAGTGGGCAGCGCCCGGGGAGCAGTGTGTGGGGACGGTGCCATGCCAGGAGCCTTCTGGACCCAAGTCCACTGCCTTAACCACTAAGTCACCACTGAAGTAAAAATGAAAAAAAAAATCAGTTGTGTTATTGCTAGGCATCTTTTAGATATTTTAAGGATACTTTTATTTACTACACTAACAGTTTACTCTGTGGCATCGACCTGTCGCACTTCATCATCCGTTTATCATCCATTTCCAGAATTCCATTCACACGGACTAGGTGTTCGAACTCCTCTGATCTTCAGGTCGCAAACCGAGAGCTGCGTCAGTTTCGTATCAACGATCTACGTCTTCAGTGTGTCCTCCATTCATGTCCACTTTATTACATTTCTAACAGTTTTCACTGGCTGAGGTTTCACACCAATTACAGGAGACAAAAAAAGTAGGAGATGATTTAAACATGATGTGTGTGTGTGTGTGTGTGTGTGTGTGCCTCCTGTTTCAAACTCCTTCTCTGGTGAAGAAGCCGTTTCCAAGTGTTTTCCTCTGCTTATTACCCCACAGAGTCTCCATCTGCCTGAGCTAATGGACATGTCGGCTGACAGACAAACCTGCTGCCAGCTGTGTCCGCTCCAACCTGATAACACTCCGACAACGCACTGCGAGGGTCTTCTCTGGTGTGTGTGTGCGTTAGCGTGAGCAGCTATGTATGTGCGTATGATTTTTTTTTTCTTTTTTTGCCTTGTATGGCTATCTGCTCGTTTTTCTGCTGCTCCAACTATCTGTGGTTGTTTTTTCAACTGTTGACGACGAAGATAAACATGCAAGAGTTTGACAGTGAACTGAAGGGCCAGAGGAAAACACTCCCTCGTCGTGGAGGTTGATAAAATGCAGCCGTGCCTCCTGCGTTTTGACTTTGTCTTTGGCACGACTCACACCTTTAACGGCGTACAGTCACGGAACAGATCCCAGGTCTGCTGATCGTTCATTAAGGTAAAGTCGTTGCTCCCTGTGGTCGCGACAACCCTGTATGATTTGTTGCAGCGGGAGGAGAAGATTTCCCGGAAAGTCCTGGGAAATTCAGCAGCGACGACAGGAGGCGAAGGGCCAAGTGTTGCATTCTTAATGGTTACAGAATGAACTGGCCGGAGATCAGTTCTCAGAGTTCAAGTCGGTCAGTGAATAAAATGGAGTCCCTGGGGTTTTAAGAGTTCGCTAATAATACACATTATAGTCGTACACACATACAGGTTTTAGTCTGTTTTACAACCTCTGAGTCGACACGATTGAAATAAAAAAATATAAAATAACCAGGTCTGTCCAAGGATTAGAATTTTCAGGGTGATTAATCACAGGACAGCTGTGGATTGATTACAATCACAATATGATTAATCACAATTAATCATGTTGACTGAAGATAAATCAACTACTAAATATGATTAAAAAATGTATTTATTTTTCTGTTTTTATTTGTGACTGATCCTAATGATGGAAGTAATAATATGGAAATGTTTGGAGATAAGTTGTAAAAGTGATTGTTTTGAGTTTGGATTTTCTTTAAATGAAGTAAATTAGTAAAAATTAAGTACATTTTCTAACTGCGTCCCACCGCGGCCCAGTACCAAGTGGCCTATGGACTGGTACTGGTCCACGGACCAGGCTTGGGGACCCCTGATCTATACAGTCTTCCATTTACAACCGGCCTTTCAAGGGGCGCTGGTATTTTAAGCTTAAGGTGTTCTTGTGAAACACATTTTTTTAATTTCTTCAATTTTTGTGTATCAACTGTATGTTAAAAATGTTGTATCTGATTATTATTACAGATACATTTTCACAATTCGTTCATTTTGACAGCCATAGAAAGAAACTATTTTGGTCAAAATCATACCCAAAATGTTTATGTTGTTGGTAAAAAAAACTAAAATAAAATGGGTTTTTTTTTCCTTAGAATTTTATTCAACACAGACTGCAGAGAAAACTTCCCTCCATTTAGATGATATTGCTGTTGTAAAAAAGTGAATGGATTTCTGCCGTACCGTGTATTCATCAGATTTCCCCTCAGGCTCGTGGTGGTAAAGCTCTGTGCCGTTTTCGATGACTGTGAAAACTGAAAAGACAAAGGAAAAAAAATAGAAATTAACAACAGTTTTATTAATGAAAAACATCGGACGATTCCAGGCCCTGAATGATGCTGCAAACTCTGACACGTTTGAACAATTTCAACTTCAAGGTTCTTTTTGAAGATAATTCTCACACAGACACGCACCGTCATCACTGTGTTTTCTGGTCAGCTCCTGTCTGCTGCTGTGAGCCACCACTTCTTCTGGAACCTTATCCAGGTCACTGGTCTGCAGACACAGGTCAGGTGCATTAGATAAAATGCAGAACGTTGATAAGTAGGGATGTCTGGTAATATCAGACGACTGATGTTATTGGTTCAATATAGAACAATTATATGTAAGAATCGTTATTGTTTTTTTAGGTAATGAAAACCTGATAACAAAATGCCTCAGTTTTGCCAAATCTGCTGGAATTGCTCGTTGGGTCCTGAGACATTTACGGCGTAAAACGGCTACATATATTGTTATCGGTTCATATCGGAATATCGGACAATATCAGCAAAAAGTTCATATTAAACCTCCCTGTTGTTGTAAATCCATCCAAACAGATGTCTGAATGGTTCTGTAAACAACATCAGAGACAGACATTGTTGGACAAAGGTACAAACAGACCCCGCAGAGACATCATACTGTCTTTGGGAGACTCGTTTCATGGAGATGCTCCCTCGCCAACAGCTGCACTTGAAGGAGCAGCGCGGCCTGAAGAGCTCTCTGATGTCAGTCTGGGTGATTTGTATCGAGGCTGAAGTTTGTTTTTCCCAGTGAAACGCTACGACGGCGGTTCTGCCCATGTATTTCTCACAGACATAAAGAAGAAGAAGGGCTGAAAAGAACCAAAGCTCCACAATCAGTCCGCTCCATCTGCCGAGCCGCAACATGTTGAGTGTTTGCAGTGACGTCTCCTGTCAGGACGGTCTGGACCGCGCTGCCTTTATTGGTAGTGTTTACAGCGCGGCAGTGGCTCGATCCATTTTGAAAATCAGCGAGATTAAAGCAATCGGATGAAGTAAACTGTGATTATCTACGGACCGCAAAGACACACTGGTGTGGCCCAGTCGTGGGCTACACAAACGCTTTTACTTGTCTTTATGGAAGCAATGAATTATGGGTCTTTGGTGGCTCGTATCCAAAATAGTGGCCACAAGACTGAACCAACGAGTTTGGATTTGAACAATCAAACGGCCAAGATGATTTTTTTTTTGGGATGTGAAAATTAATGAAAAGTTCAGAGAATTATTGAGAAATACATTTAAAATACTTTTTTTCAACTGTGGCACGCTAGCAAAGCCTCAGAAAAGTTAAGGAAAAAAAACTATTACTATTCTATAACCATTTGTCTTGAACTGCACAACAGAAACTACTTTTATTGTCAGATCCTCAAGTTTCCAATGGTACCTGAACGCACCTCATGTGACATCTGCAACTTCGGCGATCACGATAACATCTGAAACTGTGTAGACCTGGTGGTTTTGGGCCTGTTATCAAACTACTCTGCTCCTCAAGCTAGCGTGTAGCTAGCTAGAAATAGGATATATAAATATATATTATTATTAATATTATGAATAGATTGTCCTCTTACTGAGTTTCTGTGTGGAGAATCTGAGCCACTCGCCCTTTTTGCCTTCTGCGCCAGCGATGTTCCAAATCTGAGAGCCTCGTACACCGGGTCCACCTTATTACCACAGGCTTTAAAGACAAGAGCAAATAAAAAAAAAACATAAAGAAACCAAAATAAGCAGCACATTTTTATCAAATACTACAAAACAACCAAAGTGAAACTGTGACAGTATTTTCTTGTCACCTGGAGCAGCATTCCCTCCCTGATCAAAGTTAACCCAGTACGACGTCACTCACCTATCGGCATGACTTCTTTGATGCAGCCGTACTGTTCTTGGATCAGTAGTGGGGAGCTGTAGTACCGGCGAAAGCCTTTCGGCTGTTGCGTCGAGGTAAAAGAGAGGTGACATATATTAGTCGCCAATGAATACACTGCCCTGCAGCATCATCACTGGAATATGATACACAACTCAGTTTTGAGTGGACATTTCTGAACGGAGACTGAGACTGTGGCAATAAACAACAACCAGTAACTGTGTGTTTGTTTCTGTAAATGACTTTGGGATGAACTCCAATAACGAGTTAGGGTTAGGGTTATCCTTGGACTAGTTACGATTAGGCTAAAAGGCTAACTTTGTTATCAATTTAGGACCATATCTGTCATTGTAACTTCATTTCATGGACAGGGACTGAATCAAGGACGGTAGGCCTCGCCCCCTAGTGGGGAGGCAGAGTAGTGCACTTTTCTTTTGCGAGGTTCATCATTAATATGTTTTATTATCACAAGTAAATAGTACAACCAGGTACAAATACTACTTGATCAGTGGATTAAAAATGTCAAGAACAGGTCTTAAAAAGCCACTGATCTCCTGCTGCTCATCACACACTGTATAACTGTATGAACTGTTGCTGTGTTTTTTTGTATTTTCATCTAAATAGGATCAGGATTTACACGATTGATATTAAAACTAAAAAAGTTACTACACTCTATGTGTACTTTATATGATCCAAACCACAGAGATTGTATTAGATTAGCGTTCGACAGAGACAGATGAGGGCTGTGGGGCTGTACACACTCATTTATTGACAATCAGTCCAAAAACAGATTGCAGATCTGCAGATTTATTTCACTCCAGCCAGAATTAAATCACATCACTATTTTAATTAAAAGAAATATGTGATACCAGTTTTAATTTATGCATGAGCACAAAAGGGATTTAATTACAGTATCTGTCATATATTGAAGTAAAATTTAGAGCCTCCCTAATGTCACAGTGAAAGTATGGTTTGGCATTCAGTGTTGTTTATCTGCCAAGGTCTCCTCCAGACCTTGAAAAGTTTGAACTATTTCAGTGAGTTTTATGTCCTTACATTTCACTGCCATCAACAGATTGAATTTCTCCACATAAAATTAAGTGAAGAGGATGATTGATGTAGAGAAGATAACTGTGATAGCTAAGAAATGGTATTTTTCTAATCCTCATCTCATCCCACAGGATCCAGAGTTTTTCCTGTTTACATTCCACATGTTGAAGCCTCAGAAAATGAAATCTCTGTCTCTTTAATCAGCGCTGTTCAATTGTTCACGTGACACTGCTCACAGCAGGACGAATGGAATATTCAAACCTCGAGCTTTTCAAGTTTCTCTTAAGGAGCGAGATGTCAGACTTTCATGGGGCAAACTCATTAAAGCGAAGGTTCAAAGAGTTCGTGGGATTGAATCGAGCGCAAACGAAAGACGGTCGGCGACGGTGGTTTTGTTTATTAGACTCGTGGTGTGACAGGAATTATAAAATCACTGCTTTTTGTCTTTATATTTTATACATATTATATACTGTATATATCAAGTATGTGGTTCCTAAAGGGCTCTAATCGTCATGTAAGGCAAATGTGATGACCGCTACACACCGCTGAACCACTGGATATTGAACTGATTGTTCATGTAGGCACACGGAAACCTCCAGCCAACATTTATAGATTCAAATGCACTAGTTCAGTTACAGTGGGTTGGTCAGAAAGAGGTTTTCCAGTCGCAGTGTTTATAAGAAGTACTTTTTGTTGAGTGAAAAATGTGAATTTTATTGTTTAAATTTCTGTTAAAGATCATTTTAGGAATTTTAATTACCCTTTTTTGTTAGGTGATTTTAAAAATGTGTTTTGGCTAAATATTAATATACACAAGTACGCACAATCTGCTGGTTTGTTGTTTTTTATGTCTGTAAAATCCTGTCACAATCTGATTTTCCATTTATTGACTGTACATATATACTAAATGCAGAACATCGATTGATTGGATTCCTTCTCTTCTGGGTTCTCAAGTTAACAGAAATGAGCATGACTTAAAAAAAGTCCAAGTTTAGAGTAAGTCGAATTTAGCTCTGTGCTCCACTGGGGAAACTTCCCTTTTTATGATTGACCCCTCGACCTCTGTTTCCACTCTTGAGAGATGATCATATTTTCGAGCCTCATTCTTCAGACATCTAGAAAAAGATGTCACCACAGGGATTTGAAGTATTCCCGGTGCTGTGTTAGTTCCTGTGCTGTCGCTTTAATGTTGCTCCTCGACTGTATGTCACAGGTTTACATTAACCTGTGTGACCAAAACCAACCTGTGTGGATATAAATGTCACAGGTTTACATTAACCTGTGTGAACAAAACCAACCTGTGTGGATTATAAATCCATATACTACGCATATACAGATGCACCATTTATTAAACTGTGATAAAAATAATTATAGGTAAAAAAAAAAGGGAAAGTTGTAGCGTGAAAACATACTTGAGACATACATTTGTGTCATCTAATAATTAATCCATCAAACTTTTTTGGTTTTGTCTGTTAAGTTGTTATAATTGTCTTATATATAAAACAGATAATTCAGTGGTTCCCAGACCTTCTCTCCAGCGCCACCTTTCGGAAGTAATAAGACTATTGCGAAACTCCACTGATCTTTATTTTATCATTTATTTTATCTTTATTTTTATTACTGTAATTTATATTCCCATTGCAAAGGGAGAATGAAATACACACAAATACATATAATATTAAAACTAAAACTAAGGTCAATTGCTGCACATACCTCTCATTGCAATACCTTCACGCTCCACTAGGAGGCCGCCCCTACTTTTTACCACTTTTACACTCTTTTTCTTGTGGAGGCCGCCCCTACTTTTTACCACTTTTTTAATAGGTGCAGCGAAATCATCTTTCTTGTAAAGATTGAAGAAAGAAACCCCTTTTCCTTCTGTTTGTTTAAGCGTCACCTGAAGACAGCAGACGGGGACGTGTTTGGTGCAGAAAGAGAGAAGAGTAACTGGCCGACGACGACAGATTGTCTCAGTGTAATTATCATCAGTCACTAACTTTACCATCTTGGCAGTACTGAAAACTTCTCACCATGAAATTACCTCAGCTGGTGGTGTGATGAAGGGATTCAGCCCGTCCATGCTGCTGCTCGTCACATTTTTAATAGCTGTGATGTGGATGCATCGGTGAGATCGAACTGATCCTAATTTAACGGCAAATATCACTGCAGGTGAGGAGGAGGTCAGCATATTTGCTAATGTGTTGCAACGTGAACATTATCTAACTGTCGCAGTGACGAGTGGTGATATAACAGGGGAGGACGATGACTAGGACGGATCACAGATGTAGCAGCGCCATCACACATACTGTCATTTCTGAATAAGCACAATCCGGTGAGAAATCCTTCGACAAGAAGAAACATGGAAGTCTGTTTGGGTTGGTTGAATTATTAACCACCCTTTTTTTCTCTTCTTCATTTAAAATGTCTTATTAACCATTATTTAAAAGTGTATTTGTGGGGTTGGTGCATGCCTTTACAGTGTACCTCACCAGTTTGCCCATGCAGCGCTGCTGTCCCACGCCGTTCTCACACTTGTGGTGCAGGCTCATCTTGCAGGCTTTGCAGCGCAGGCCGTGCTTCGCTGTGTTTCCCGCCAGGAACACCACATGTTTGGCTGTGGTACCTGCAGCACAAACACAGGGGAAAATAGGCAACAGGTTTAAACCTGTCACGTCTGGAAAAAGAGACAAATGGTTTCCTCACGGTTTGCTGCAAATTATTCACAGAAATGGACAGGAAATAAATCTGGTTCGTTTATTTCACTGTGACTGAAGTCTTTCCTGGCATGTTCTACGACCGTCCGGTAAAATGACTGGTGGAATGTTTTTACATAGACAAAATATAGCAACAGCAGCTACGTATCTGAGAGAGCTCCAATATTCAGTGAGGTCTGATTATATTTATTTATACAAAATCAAAATCAACATAAAAATGTAAACTCAAATAGTGAATGGATAATAAATGAGATGGTTAGCATGTAAAACACAGTCAAAATCAACATAAAAATGTAAACTCATAGTGAATGGATAATAAATGAGATGATGAGAAGAAAAAGAGGACAAAAAAGAACCTTGTTAGCATGTAAAACAAAATTGTCACCATGTTAGCTTAGCTTTGTTGTGCAAGCATGCTACCGTAGCAGATCACATAGATTAGTGTTAGCCAGATATCCTTACTTAAAGGTACCACCATCATCTTTTAAGTCTTAAAGATCATATAAAGCAGAGATATTTAAATTGCTAAAATAGAGACTAAAATCAATTATCTCATTCCTGACAGATTGTAAAAAAAAAAAAAGCTAATAGCTGAGTCATTATTGTCTTCAATAAAACCAGCCGCTGCCAGTGTCTTTATAAGGTCACAATAAAGTAAAAGGCCAGAGATGATTAGGCAGAGAAGACATGAATGTTAAACAGGTAACGCTGGCAGGTGGAGAGGTAACGGAGGATAAATCAAACACACCCCGGTCACTGCACTGACTTCAGTAAAGAAAGTTCAACCCGGTTAACAATGCTGTTTCTGGTGTGCACTTCATGTTTGTCTGAGATCTTTTTACTAACGATATTTGCCAATGCTAACCTCAGTTAGCTAACAAACAGCAGTAAAATGCTAATTCCAAGACAATCTTCCACAGTAACACAAACCGTACCAGATATAAATGCTGAGCTAACAAAGTCCTTACATCACACTCCACCTGTTGCAGTAGCATTTACTTATTACAAAGCTGCATCTTTAAGCTAAAGCTTTGAGATTGTAAAGCATCAAGAGATATCACTGACTTAAACAAGAGCCAGGAGAGATTTTCAAAAATCTTCAAAGATCTCAAAAAAAAAAATACAACAGAACTAACATGTGTCGCTAAATAGGAACAGGAGTGAGAAGTGTACTACAGTACCCTTCAAAACTGATGGACACCCAGGACAGAAATTAGTCAAGGAGGCTGCAAAGACACCTTTGAGAACAACCATGTTGTTCTCTACATCTGACCACGTTCTCCCATACGTCTGTATGAGTGTACGATTGAGCAAAAGAATCAGAGGAAGTTCGCTAAATTTCAGAAAAATTCCAGTTGAATCTAACAAGGACAAGGATGACTTTGGAACGAGAAAAATAAATAAACACAAAATTACAAAAAACAAACCCTTTCCAAAGCATGGCGGTGAAAACGTCATACATTGAGGCTGTTCTGCTTCAAGGTAACCTGGAAGTTTAAAGTAAACCATGAACAGATTTGAATGCTAGAGCTACTGGTAAATACTAGTCGTATGTCGCCTCCAGGTGTCTTCTGGGAAGCTGAAGATAAGAAAGTGTTTACATTTAAGCACAATGAAAAGGATGGTTTTTAATGTATAAAAATGACGTTTTGAAATTGAAAAATATTGTCAATACACAGACCTGGATCTAACCCAAAATCTTTGCTTTGACCTTATAAGGTTAGTTTAACGTTTTTGTTTTATTAGCTCTGTATGGGAGAATGAATCGTGATTCTTTTTAAAATTACTGACAAATATTCCTATTGAATATTCAAAGCTGGTTGTTGCTCGGGTTCACACTTACATCCCAGAGACCTTGAAACGATATGGAACGCTCAGAGCAGTAATAAATCCTAAAGAGTTTCTTCGACATTTCATAAACTCCAACATCCAGCTGTAGACACGAGGTATAAATCGCCCGAAGGAAATAGGTTATTGTCAGCTTCTTTTTTTCCTGCTCTGAGGAGACTGTGTTTGAGGAGTGACAGCAAATACAAACACTGTACATATTCTGCATTCAATCAACCCATACTGCAAAGTGAGAGGTTGACATTTAAGCTGTGAGAAGATGGAACATTTAATACCTCTGGGTTGAAGTGAGGGATCTGTCAAATGACAGAGTTTAAAACTGGTGATCATTCAGAGGAGTCTTAAAATGTGCGGCAACATGAAACTGATCATCAAACATTAAACAACAGTCGATCAAACACACTGGCACAAAAACAGACTCACTAAAACACATACTAAAATAATATTACATAACATAAATAACAATAAAACCAACATTGTTTTTCGGGTTTAAAGCAAATACCTAAAAATGTTCTAACTGCTTCAAACACATGAAAAAACAATCAAAAAAAGTTGATTCAAGGGATGGGAATTTCTTCATTATGTTATCTTCAAAAAAGGTTTGAAAACAGGTCTGCAAATCATTACAAATATTACATTTACTTATTGCTGTAAGTTATTTTTAGATTTTTAGATGTTTTTCTGACAGCATAAGCCCCTCCAGCAGAGGGCACCCTAGATGGCTGCCTATGTGGTCTATGCCAACAGCCGGTAACTTTTGTGTTACCACTTATATTCATGGCTGCCTATGTGGTCTATGCCAACAACTTTTGTCAGAATTTGCTTATTCAAAATCTGACAAAAATTACCACTTACATTTGGCATTGTTTTGTATATGTATATTTATATATATGCATATGTATATGTACATGTACATGTGTACTGCCTGACAGCCTCACCGAGAGTAAAGAGCATTACCAAGTCTCTTCACTGTTATTAGTCTGGCAGTAATGTGCCTCGGGCTGAGGATCAATTAATCAATGGTCACGTGGTCCACTCTGGCCCACTCTGGCCCACTCTGGCCCGCTCTCGTCCACTATCTCTGACTAGAAGTGTGAAAATGTGGACAAGCAAAATAATCATTAATCTACGACAGTGGGCGTTAAGAGTGCAGGAGGGGATACAAGAGGATTTGACCAAGTGCCACTACAGATGGATCGTCATGTTGTGTAGAGGCTGATATCATATTGTAGTGTAAAAAGAGTGTCGACCTGCCAGGACGTCCACGTGTACCTCGGAAGGTTTCTCAGGCTAAAGGCGTGGTTTTTACAAAAATGGAAAGAAAATGTTTTTACTTTGAAACTAACAAGTGAGGATTCCACTTATGTTGCTTGTTGACAGTTAAAGATATTAATGTAATGATTGGGAAAAGATTGATAGCGTTAATGATTGAACCAGAATTTGATCCACCCACGTCATTGTCCAGCTAGCGTACAGAAGATATCTGTATATTGGAGTTTGTTAAAAAAAACTGGGTCCACCATGTGGTCGAAGGCTGCATTGCAATTGAACGTCCCCAGCCACAGGTGCAAAACTGCAGTTTTTCTGTGTCCCACTGGGCGGTGCTGATGGCCCAATTTTGGGCCACAGCCCTATGGTTTAAAATCACTGAACTAACCACCGCGTCTAAATTGCTCATAGGTGTGAATGGAAGAGTGACTGTTTCTTTATGAAGGCAGGACTACGACTGCTGTGATTGGCTCCAGCTCTCACAAGGTAATTGCGGTCCCTCTTTTTTAGGCCACCTTGCATCCACACAGGTATGTTACAGGCTGTTCATGTGATTCAATGGAACAAACCCGATCCCTAAACTAGATGCAGTGCCTACGTGTAGTTAAAACACGCAGCATAAAATCTCTGCTCGCCGCTCATGTGCTGTAATGTGACCTGGTGTCACGAGTATCTGAGGCCGGACAGCAGTGAAACTCAGTATCGAGTGGAAAACTGGATCTCTTGGCTCTTGTGTTGTTTGGCTGAGACGCACTCACACAAAACGGAAACAGGAAGAAATATGATCCTGGGTCGTATCCTCAGCCGGTCAGACGGCAGATCACCATAACAACAACACAAACAAGAGCAGTAGCAGCAGAGGCATAGACTTCGACCTGCACCAATTTTCAGGTGGTTTCTAAATCAGGACAGATGATGATGATGTCAAACTTTGACTTTCCGCTGCTTCACAAACACAGATCTCTGAGGCATTTCAACAGCCTGGTACTGTATGAAACAGCCGGAGAATAAAGCTCTTGTCAGGCTGACTCATTCCAACAAGGGACAATATTAATGAGTGTCCTAACTTTACTCCAGCAGTTAGAAAAGGGAGCAAAATAAAACGTCAGCCTCCTCCTTTGGTGATATCTGGGCGATGGCGATGGGTTTCAGAGATACAGTGCAGAGCTGAAAGCAATCACAGCTGTGACTGACACAGCTGCTCTCTTTGCCATTTGCTATTTGTTGGCTCTACTCTGCCTTTACAGCCATTTATTGATTTACACAGCAGTGAAGAACAAGATTCCTGCCAGACTTCCCAAACCTTCATCCATTGATTGTTGCTAATTTTGTCTTTTCCCCTCCCTTTTCCTCCTCCACCTTGACAGAGTCACTTCTTGACAGAATCACTGCTCTACACTCAAGCTCGTGCACAGAACATGAAACAACATCACTACTACACCGCTGCTGATTCTCTGTGATAACAGCCTCGACTGTGACGACAGCGTGTCCACCTCCTCTTCCTCCAGAGTCTTTCTTAAACACTGACCTGTGCAACTGTGACTGGTTTATTTGTAGACTTTAATTTGTCTCTCCCACCACCATCTGATGTTTCCCCTCCATTTCCCCATTAAGGAAATAAGGCCTGGGATGTTTAGCGCCTCACCACAGCTGGAATATTCATTTATTTTCATGTGTTCAACTATGAGGGGGTCGACTGCTGAAATCAGCTGGAGATGGAACCAGATTCAGCCGCCTGTTTTTAGACACTGATTAACTTAGAGTTGTGAAGAACAGACACAGCAAAACATGTTTCAAATGTTTACGATGTGTGGGTATTTTTGATGTTTGATCAGATGGACAAATATGGTTGGAAGGTTTGGAGATGATGGGATCTCAAACTCCTGGCTCGCAGACCACTGCTGGACCACAAACCACCTAAATGCGGCCTGCGACTAGATGTGAGTACATTGTACTGTACTAATGACAGGGGACCCCCCCTCTCCGTTGCCCCCCGCGCCCACTCTATGATATTAAATCAGTCATTTAAACAGGTTTAAAGCAGAGACAAGAGTCGCTGCAGGACACATACGTTTCCCATGACACCTCACGTGCGTGCTGACATGTGGCTAGAAACTCTAACTTGTAATAAAATACCTTAAAAACACCACGGACACCGGCGTCTACCATCATGTGTCACACTGTGTCTCACCGTCTGGTATTTAACCCTAAACCCTGACCTGATTTGTAGTCAGACGGCAAGACATATTAAATATGTAGTAGTGGGAATTTGATTGCATATATATACGTATATACAGTATATACATATATGCACAAACGCCTTATATATACATATATGTGTGTGTTTATGCAATACATGCTATAGCATATATATATATACATATGTATGTATACAGACAGAAAGACACACACATATATACAGTATATA